AGGCTGCAGGTAAGAGAGACCTGACGACATTGTATCAAATAACCAGGTTGCTGTCAGGGAAGAGACCAACACAGATGAAACCAATAAAAGATGAAGAAGGAAATTTAATTACAAAAGAAGAGAAACAGAGGAAACGATGGGCCGACCACTTCAAGAAGCTCTTGAATCGACCACCACCTGCACTTCGTCCAGAAATACCACCTGCAGCCGCTGAACTACAAGTGAACATTAATCCCCCAACGAAAATGGAAGTCCTGAACGCCATAAAGCTACTGAAATGTGGGAAAGCAGCAGGACCAGATGGAATACCGCCAGAAGCACTGAAAACAGATGCAGAGACAACAGCGGCCATGCTCACACCACTATTGCAGAAGGTGTGGAAGGAAGAGAAGGTACCTGACGATTGGAAGAAGGGTTACCTTGTCAAACTGCCGAAGAAGGGAGACCTCAGTGCTTGCAAGAACTGGCGCGGAATCACTCTCCTGTCCACCCCAAGTAAAATATTAAGCCGCATCATCCTGGAGAGGCTAAGGGATGCACTGGATTCAAAACTACGACCGGAACAGGCAGGCTTCAGGAAGTACAAATCATGTGCAGACCAAATTGCAACGCTTCGCATCATCATAGAACAGAGCATAGAATGGCAATCACCTCTCCACCTCAACTTCATCGACTTTGAGAAGGCCTTTGACAGCGTCGACCGAGAAGTAATTTGGAAACTGCTTCAATACTACGGAGTGCCGCAAACCTTTATCCGCCTCATTCAACAACTATATGAAGATGCCACATGCCAAGTAATCCACAATGGGAAGCTCAGTGATGCCTTTGAAGTGAAGACAGGAGTGAAACAAGGTTGCCTACTATCACCCATGATATTCTTGATTGTGGTGGACTGGATCATGCAGCAAACAGTAGGCAGCGAGAAGAGGGGGATACACTGGACGACGGAAAAGAACCTAGAAGACTTGGATTTCGCCGATGACTTATGCCTAATGTCACATAAACTTGAAGATCTGCAGGCAAAAACTAACAAGTTGATAGAAGAGGCAGCGAAGACGGGACTTCAGGTGAATATAGAGAAGACAGAAGTGATGAAGATACCGCACCACCACCATCAACAACAACAACAACAAACTCCAATCACTGTCAACGGGAGAAACTTGAAGGAAGTAACCTCCTTCACTTATCTAGGAAGCACTGTTTCAACTACAGGCGGGACGGACGAGGACGTCAAAGTCAGAATCGGAAAAGCAAGACAGGCATTCATTAGCCTGAAACCAGTGTGGAGATCTTCTGCACTCAGCATGCGGAACAAGATACGGATTTTCAACACCAACGTCAAGTCAGTGCTCTTGTATGGCTCAGAGACTTGGCGCGTCACGAAAGGTATTTCCAATAAACTACAGACATTCATCAACAACTGCTTACGCTCGCTGCTGAAGATCAGATGGCCAGAAAAAATAAGCAACAAGGAACTCTGGGAACGAACCAACCAAGAACCTATCACGCAACAAATATGCAGGAAGAAGTGGAGATGGATTGGCCATGCACTGAGAAGGCCGACTGAGGACATCACGCGTCAGGCCCTCGAGTGGAATCCCCATGGGAAGCGACGAGTTGGACGTCCGAGGGTGACATGGAGGAGGTCGTGCGAGCAGGAAATGAGAGGTTGTGGGCTGTCGTGGGACCAGGTTCAAAAGATCTCAGAGAACAGAGGTCACTGGAGGCGTGCTACTGAAGCCCTATGTTCCACTAGGAACCCAAGGGACTAATAATAATAATAATAATAGTATGACAGAATGTGATTCAATTTTATTTAATTTATTGCATCATATTTCGGACACAGTTTATTGTCTATTGTTATATCAAGTACTTTGATACATTGTCAGATTAGTTTTAATTGCAAGAATCCTAGAAATGTATCAATGCACTACCAGACAGACGAATATAATCAACATCAAACCTTGTGCAGAAGTGTATCGTTTCAGTTTACCACAATCCACAGTAGCATGAAAAGGAAAGTGGATAGAAAAAGACTGATATCAAAGTGGAAAAAGATGCACGGAGGAAGAAGAAATTTGGAAACGAAGGTTACTGAGGATTTTCAAGTTTCAGAAGACGTCAGAGTGAATACATCTGCACTACTGTGACTGATTTTCAGCCATTTCATCAACAGTCTACAACCAGTGGTTCCTATAGTCTCGGCGAAAGCAAATACGGTTAGGGTTGGGCCACTGTGAATCCTCTTCCAAATTAAACTTATATCACGTAGTATATCACGCCGAGGTAGGAGCCAACTTGGAACGTGTAACACATGTCCAAGCACCTCAGTCGGCAAAGTTTCACAGCCTAATCGACGGACTTTCTTTCCTTGCCTATTATCTTTCACTTAACCTCTACATTGCTAACATGGTGATTCCACTGTACGCAAACAGTACAACGAAGACGTCAGTGTTAGAAAAACTGTTATATCTTCACAAATTATACTTTCAACGTTCATGCCATACAACCATATAACATGAATGAATGAACTGCAACGCATCAAGCTCATCATTTGGGAATTAGTTGAATATCGCGTCGATGACAGAGATGATGTAAACTGTCAAATGCCAAACGGGTGTTCTTTATATGAGCTGATGCACTGTTAACCTGAGTAATATAGTCTTATATCATTTTACACTTAAGACTATGATGAATTAATTTTTGATGTAGGTGTTTGATTCTTGTAAGTCGAACAAGCTTGGTGAATAAAAACTGTATTCTTCTGTCACTTATCATCAGTTCACCACAATGAGTCGCTGAGAACCTATTGCACATCATCCATTTTTCACTCTTTCAAATATTTTCTACAGCACGATTTTAATCAGTAGTCATACACCACTATTATCATCAGCCGACTTTTCTCCGCACAGAACTTAAATCCATTCTTCAGTCAGTCACTGGTGAGTAATAAGTTTGAAAACTCATGTTACTGAATTCCAATCTAGTGGTTGGTGGGTGACATGCTAAACGCAGTCAACCAATATCAAATTGATAGGCACAATTACTGAGCAACGGTTCAAGTAGTTACAACTCACAGAAGTACATGAAGATACAACGTAGTAGCATGAATATTTAGGAAACTAGGAAAAAGCATCAAAAGTTGTAGGAATTTATTCAAGGTTTGTAAGAGAAGACTAAACAAAAAATATGAACTGTGATGTCATGATGAGAATGAAGTCAGTGTATGGATGCACTTGTGCCACTGCTACCAATTTTCAACCGAAACGTCTACAGTCTCCGATCATGGCCTTCGTTTGTAATGGGAACCCCAACCAAAACGTGTACATTTCTCTGCATAATTCAGGTCAAAGTCAGAGACTCAACGGAATGATGCCACGTTTGCCTGACTGCTCCTAACCTTCTTCAAGTTTAACTCTACCTCATGTAATATCACACATTCGGAGAAAATGGTGACTCAGGATGCGTAACAAATCCCAGCCACCTGTGTCACCGAATGATTTACTCCCTTTGCCTAAGAAATTTCATCTGACCCATACACTCTTAACGCAACAGTTCCACAACACATGGCTTATGCTAAAAAGGGACCGACTGTCAAGAACATGAAACTTTCTTATATCCTCCACCTTCAATAACCACGGTTCACAGCCATATTGTTAAACACAGAACTTACAAGCAGTAAACTCGACTTTGAGTAATCAGTCGGATGTTTAACTGGCATTATAAATGGCACAATGAGAGAAGAGTCAGACGAAGTCTTGTGTATGTAGAGCTTTTTACTTTTATTGATGTATCAGGGCTGATTTGACTTCTAAATTTAGTGAGCGGGATAACACACTGAACCGCTTCACTCCTATTTTCAGAGAAGAAGCCAACGAAAACCAGTCCTGACGTATCAGTTTGCATTTATTGGTGAGCAAAGCTGCTAAAATATTCCAAAACTACTATTCAAGCTATGTCTTCAACTGACAAGACTAATTCATCTGCATGGTTTAAGCCTAGTGAAAGGTTGCCTGCAGTATGACTAATCACTCCAAATTTAGGTGATAAAAGGAAGATCATCAGGATTTCCATGAATAACTTAGGTAACAATGGAGAGATTGTGTGTGTGGACATGTTTAGTGGAGATCACTTCACTCACACAGCTCACGTGATGCCTCAACATAGGCTCTGAGACGCCCAAAGGTGTTCAAACATAGAGTTTGTACTAGAATGATATACTTACTGGCCACCTGCTCAGCTGAGAAATACTGACACAATACCTATCGACTGACATTGTTGAATACCGCCTTTATCGATGGTCTGATATTCATTCATGTATGTAGTAGCGGCTTAGGACTGATAATGATCCCAGATATAAATTAAAATCCATGCTCAATGATCCTTCTTCTCCTGGTTTTTTTTACATCTGGTAAGATTGTGCGAAGAAAAACGTTTCTGGGGCAATTAGCAATGAAGTAAAGTAGTCTGTACTTTTAAAAGTTGTATAATTCAAGACCAGTTATAAGTTTTGGAAACATATTTTCCAGATAAAAATAGGTGCTAACCAAATACGATAGGATACATACGAATGTGCAGAAACAAGATAACAGAGAGAAGAACAACTTATTGAAGAGTAACGCGACTTAGAAGAGTATATGGTTTGAATGAAATGGTGTCTGTTAGATTGATTCTGATTCATTGTATTAAAGATGTGGTAGTAAAAATAAAAATTCATAACACCTGTGACACGTAGCTAGTAGCCTACATTCTTTCATCAACTCAACCTGGATAGATTGGCGCCATGTTAGAACTATAACATCCTTAGTCTATTTTTAGCCTTGTTCTACATCGGTATCATTGCACAGCAGGCCAGGCATGCGTGACATATGTCTCAGCAACTTAATTGGTGTGAGTTCATGGTGTGTTCTACCTTTTCAAAAAAATATTGTTTTTCTTTATCTGTAGACTGACAAACAGTATCACTAAATAATATCAATAAATATAATTACGAATCTTACCATTTACGGGATGTATACAAATATGGGAGACGAGACCTAGTAAAAATAAAAGAGGAAACGTTTTGCGAGCCTAAATCGAAACGTTTGTACAAAGTCATGATTAAAGAATTTTGTTATGATCAATATTAGTCGCACAAAAATGGATGTGGAATAGCATTCCCTCCTTTTTTTTATCTCATGCTATAGTTCCAAGTATTATCTGAAAGGTAGCACACTTGTTCTCCAGCTGAATAGGTAACTTTAAAGTTAACTTCATCTTTCTGTTTCTTTTACACAAATAAAATTGCAGATATCAACTGTAAACTGCTTTGTTAAGGAACGAAAGTCTTATTACCCCTTTGATGATTTAGTTAATTATGCGTTATTTCTTTTATGTAACCAACACCTTATAGGCTCAACTCAATCAAATACTTGATAACTGTTCAGTTCTTAATGTTGTTGCTTGTCTCGAGTTTGAGTTCTAGTAAAAACAATATCGCTTAATGGGAGGCAGGTACGTTTAGCTGACGAATAGCAAATAGCAAGAAACGCGTGCCTCGGATTTCACTGCTAGTCACTGTTCATCATTAATAAATGTTAAGTTCCTGTTTGAAAGTGATGCCTGTTTGTTTTTGAGATAAATGATTAAGATACACTAATGTCAATGGTCATTAGAGTGAAAATCTACGAAAATGCTGTGTATATGTGTGCCGCATCGGTGCAAGACACTTTTTACAGAAACCAGTTATTTTGATTTATCTAGATTGTGAAATTTAATTGTAAAATAGGCTTATTAACAGCAAAGGACAACATGGGTACTGCAGTAAAACGTAGTTTAGAAAGAATTGGAAGTAATTTACTCTCCATATTCTTATCAACTTAACTCTACCACTTAACGACATCGTTTTAATTGTTTCCTCTCCGTTGTGATACAAGCAGCTAGATTTATCAGATATCGAGGATAGCTGTTGAATCATTTTGACTTTACTAAATAATTCACTTGAAGTTAAAAACTGCCATTTTCATTTTTACATATTCAACGTATAATTATCTCCTTGAATACCAAGTAACACTTTACCTGTCGAAGTGAAACACCCATTTGACATTAATAATTAGTGGTATGCTATTTTGTCTCAAAACGAGGATCATGGTCAATAAATAATTTATATAATAGTTTGAAGGAAAACTGCTATTAGCCCAATCAATGTTATAAGCATTACTAATACTAGGATCTGTCCACTTTCTGTGATTAACGCTGTTTAGGAAGAGAACTCTTAGTTTTCCAAAGAAATAATGTAGTGAATGGAACTAAGCATACAATAACTGATGTGAAATGGCATGTTATTAAAGCAAAAGAATGACTACACTTTCAGTTGAATTCTATTGGTTGAACATCAAGGAAATTTGATCAGCGATTAAAAATGTTCTTTTCATTTTGTAAGTTTAATAGGTTCAATCGTCAATACATGAAAGTAAGAGAGAATATGTTATAGTGATTGGTTGTAAACAGTTGCCTTCTGATACTATTTTAGTACCTACTGGGAAGATAAGTCAGGATTGGTCTTTCGTTCTGTTTGAGATTCCTTAGTTGGATGATTTTGTATTTTATTGGCTGGAAATGTTTCCAGTATAGCTTTTAGTTACCATCAATAGCCTCCTTAGTATTTTAAGCATCAGCTGAATTTTTTATTCTGATTGTTTTTAGATACTGAGAAAGAGGATGCTTGAGAGCCTTCAGTCGACGATAATTTTCAAATGAAAAAGGCATAACTCACCCATCTGTTGCTTTCACTGACTGTGGTCCTTCACTAATCACATTTTCATTACTTTGTTCTTGTTTTTTATTATTACAAAACAATATTCCCCCTCAATGAGACGATAATACAATAGAGCAAATGTAGAAGCAGCCAGTGCAAACAATGACCATAATAAACAGCATGTGACCACAACAACTGTTGCTGACAAATATAATGTTCAAAATAATACATACATAAGGAAAAGCGTTAATCAACAAACAAAAAGTATGCTGAATGAAATAGAAGCTACTTCTAAATGACAATTCACTCTCATAGGCTGAACACATGCAATCATTAGAAACACTTATCAGTAGGTTTCTACTGTTCAGGTCTCATCAAGTAGACAAGGATACATTTGTACTTTGAGGAAGTTTCCTGCTTCCGTCGGACTACCTATCTCACAGATGATATCACTCAATCCAACTAGTAGAACTTCTACCTAAATAATTAATGAAGCTTGATAACCTAAATCTATTTAAGTTTGGTGAATGAAGTATTTTAGAGCCTTCACAATTATTAGACTACCTATTGAAAGTTACCGAACTGGTTATCTGACTGACAACTAGTCAACTAAACAACTGTGGAAATATAGTACCGACCGAACAAAGATATACTTAAAGTTAAAATAAAAGGCATAATAATTCAGCTCCTGTCAATAAACTTCTAGATTATTAATGATAGGTAGTGATTAGCAGGAAAACTCTGGACGCACATTTCGTCTTATTTAGGATTCATCAGGTAGATGTACCTGCATCCTAATGAGTGATTTTATTCCTACTGAGACTTGAACTCCCAATCAACCGCTCAAATGCAAGAGGTTCATCCATTTAACCCCAAGTTATCCAAAAAACTTCTGAAATGCCTGCGAACATACAATAAACCAAATTAGCCAAATGAAATAATGCTTAAAAATACCTTGTAAATTATACTAAAACAAGACCAATCAGTTAAAATATGAAATAATAATAATACCACCGCTATCAAGTAATGAACTGTAGGAGAAGAGGTAAAAAAACCGCTACTCATCTTAATTTAAGTGTTATGCATGATAAAATATCAGACAGTCCACTAGTACAGCCACATAGGTAAACAGCTTCAGAGGTGTCACATGGAAACGTCAGTTGGAATATAATAAACAGAAATATGTTTCTTACTACTGAACTCAGAACTATATTAAGTAGTATGAAACTAATTATGTATACCAGCAGTTCGAACTGGCAGCAGTCTATACAGTCTGTACATAACTCATTTGATCTACTGATAAAAGGAAGATATTTTCAGCTATTATAACTGCCAAATGTGTGCACGCTGACACCAACCCATCTAAAATGTATTCGGAAACATTAGATGAATCGCACAGACAAATGTAGGCATGTATTCTCTACACATTCACCCTATCATTGTTATTTAAACTTAATATACTGACCGATAAATTTACAAGTTTATAAGATACTCCAGACTTTGATGTCGATTGATCATAAAAAATTATCAGCTAAACAATTTTTGTACGCTACGTGGTTGGCACTAATTAGCAAGGTATATTTTACGTGATGAAGGTACAATCGCTCATCAAGAGATTGCGATACACACTGAAACGCTGTACATTCTGGATATCCTAGTAGTAACACCTCTGGTTACTCAGTGAGAAAGCAAGTAATTGCTCAGAGAATTTATTTTTAGACTGAAAGCATCCAAATCTACTGGAGTAGGAGTAGTTTTATAAACCGCTTCGAGCAGTCACTATAGCAACGAATGAAGTCAGAGTTTATTGTTCTTAGTAACATGAGTAAATGTAGATGTAGGTGACATCTGGGATATTAGGAATCAGTGTTTAGACATTTTTAAGTGTTGTGGCTTAAAATCAGTCTCGATGATTCAAGTGTATACTACATTTATTTATTTAGAAACTTAGAATATCTCATGACCCTGTATTCGCTCACATCATCATTGTATGTCCTTCTTTACTGTGATAATCTTTTCATTTTGACGAATTTTGTTCGTTCTCGTTAAGCATTTGTTTTGTTTTTCTATCCAGGTTTTACGTTGTTTGGACTGACCGTTATATTTTCAATTTTTCTGATTTTTTGTTACTTGACCTGGTTGTCTTTATGAGGTTGCGATGACAATGTTTGTAGGATGTCTATAGCTATTAAGATAGTCCTGAGTGCCGTTGAGTGAAGCGTCTGCGGTTGGAAAATGTTATAATACTGGTATTGACTTTCTCTACTTCATTTTAATTCCCCTCTGTGTGACCACCTTTGTGCCTTTCATGCCTTCAACATCATACTGCTTAATAAAAATGAGTAGTACTATATTTCACTTTTCGTGGTTGCTTTCTGTATGCATTTGCCTATAGACTTGGATCATGTAGTGTTTGTATTTGTCAGGTTAACATTTCAGTGAATAAGCTTTCATTGTCATATCCTGATTGTACTTTAACCTCTTTGTTTTGATTTCCTTTCCTATCTCCGGTCACTATAGTCAAAAGAGTCTTCTTTCAAAGTCATTTACAAAATGAAGGCAAACATTTCGAAGCGAGTGCGTATTCGCCACCTCAAAACAGGAGAAGCTGTGGGGATCCAGCACTACAAGCCTGCCCTTTGTGCTGAAAAAAAGGTATATTCAGTCTCCAATTTTGCCTTGGGCGTTATCTTCCTAATATGGTTTATCAATTTTTTCCGTTTATTTACGCTAATTCTATGGCCAAGTTTTTGATGACCTTGATTTGACTTTTAGCACTTATCACCTTGTGACCTTATCCACCGTTTTTATGACTTTTTATTGACCTATCTGTCACTGATGGATATATATATTTTTTCACAATTATGGTTACGATGTAGAGTGATTTGTCGAAAACAAAATTTTCTTCGCTGAACTGTCTTTTACCAATTTACATCATCATTAATTATCTTCATCCTTTCTACTTATTCCGAACTTTCGTGCATCTTTGTTTTTCAACCATGATTTAAGTTTACCAGGCTTTAAATGTTTAGTAATGATAGGCAGTGGCTAGCAGTAGAATGCAGGATGCACATTTCGTCCTATTTGGGACTCGTCAGCTGGGTGTCATACAAGCTATAACACTAAAACTATACCCATCGCACAAAAAGTTGCTATTGTGGCTCCGTGGTATAGTGAATAACACTCTGGCGTTTGAAGCGAACGCTCCCGAGTCCCGGTAGGGAAAACATCACTAACTAGGAGGCCGGTACATCCAGCCGACGAGTCCTAAACAGGAAGAAATGCGCATTCTGGATTCCACTGCTAGCCACTGCCCAGCATTACTATACATAATTAAAACACAGGCAATACCGAGACATCAGCACAGAAGTCCATATGCCAACAGAGACTGATCAATTTGGTCCTATCAACGATGGTGTAATCCAAGCAATAACACTAAATTTAAATGTTTACTTTGTTTATTAATACACTCGTTGGACAGTGTGTTCCACGAAACAATAAACACCTGAACTATTCACGATTTAAAAGTTGTAATTTCATTATACATTATTGTTGTTTGTCAATATAGTAGTGCATTGCAAACAAATCCTTTGTTTTGACACCATCGTTCACCACGTAACTCGTACATTTGGTTTATCTTACTGATACCTCAGTCATAGCTGTGATCTTGGAATTGCTGATCAGATGACACTCATCGAGAGAACTGATATTATTAGGCCGAATAATATGTTCAGTAATTTATATGTACTCGTAAAGAGGTCACAACTACAAGGAAATGATTATTCATTATCATTAGTCTCATTTGTTTTCCTAGCTAATACAGATTCATGACGAAAATTATATTCAGAACAAAGAGATTATAGATTCTTATTTCAGCAAATGTATTTGCTCGTTTCTTTAATTGTATCTTAAGCTATTGATTTAAATGATGGGTGAAATATGTGTAGTGGATGTTAATGATGATAACTTACTGTTAGATAGTGTATGGGCATGAATTGTTTTAGACGTAGTATAGCCATACTTAGTATAGGTTCTTAACTGTATACTGTAAGCAGAAATAAAAAGAGTAAATATATTTGTATGTTAATTGGATAAAATTATGTGATGAATGTATGTGTAAGCATAGAACAAGAATACTGTGACTTACTGTTACCCTATGCGAGATTATATGATATAACACAGACTTACATAGTGTTATTAAATGCAACAACTTATTGCTTATGATCACACCAAGGTAATCTTATAATTTCTTGACTTAGTTTAATAGTTCCACTACTGTTCTTTCTTTTTTGAATTAGTTGAAAGAAAACTTCCATATATTTGCGATCAGCGGTGAACCATCTCTACTGCATGTATTAGGTGTTGAAATGACCGAAGGAAATTCATTTACGAAACTCCCTTCCACCCAGATACATTGATATTTAAGGGTGTTACTTTGTTGGTGCACAGTGTATGGGTGCATTATTCAATGTATTTGAATGGCTGGGTTATCCTTTGGACTGCATAACGTTTTGGATCTATCATTCTGAACTTGTTAACCCCACAGGTATCGCTCTCAATTAGCTGGTGACAACAATTTGATCTGAACTCAAAGTCATTACATGGGATTTGAAAGTTTAAATTATTCTATTATTTGGTCAATAGGAAACTTCATTTCGAGTGGACTTGTTTGAATTCTATTCTTTTCCCAGCCAGCCTAAGAGTTCTGGTTATGAATTGTAATATCTCATTTATCAACACTGCACAAGCGCTGACTTCGCTTACCGTTTCATTGCAATCACTGCCTACATGGTTATTTCTCTTCTTCATGAGATCTTATGAGTGTTTGAATAAACTAGGAAGCATTATCGCCAAATAGTGAAGTTTCTCCTTATCTGGATTTCATAAATCTGTTACTCAGATTTGACCAAACCTATCTTAATAGATGTGAGGTGAAACGATTTAACATATAGGTATCAATTAGTACGTGGTGTTTTCTAGTAGGTACTAGTATCTAAAACACAATTTTCGTTTCACTCCATTTTACAGTCTAGATCAGCCACTCATCCTTGTTCATCTAAGGCAAGTTGAAATTAGTCGAGCACTGAGTTTACGTATGAGAATACTGTAGATTTTTTTGATGTTTGCATAGTGATTTTGCACACTTCATATCTTCACTACACTTTCTAAGATATCAATCAACGTACCTCAGTAGAAAAAACGTTAAAGACTGGATTTTTCTTAATCGATTCAACACCCATTGCATGAAATAGGAACAGTTCAACGCCAATCACAGATTTATGGGAAAGTCTACTTGAAATAAATTCAAGTAAAGCGGAGTCTTAGAACTATCAACTTAAGTTAAGAGGCTATGTGATGATCTTGGTACACAATAAAGGCAATAAACTCCGGTTGAAGCACTATACAGTTAATAACACTGTATCACTGTGTAGCATATCAAAAATTATTCTCATATTTAATAGTACGCTTATGTTATGATTAGTAGGCGTAATTACATGAAGTAAATTAAAACGAACTTAGTCTATACAGCACGATAGGGTGAACACGAAACTATACTCCGAGATATTCAGTGTTTACAACAGTTGCATAAAAGCATCTCATGAACTGCACCTTCTTACCCCTTGCTTCCTCTAAATGGTTGGGATCTGCAGTTAGTGACTTGAAAAGCCACTTCCACTTTTTTAGCTGGCTGTCTTTAACCCTCTTCACTATGTGTAACTGACTATTCAGTATATGTACACAACTTAACGTGTTCAATTACATTCACATAATGCTTCAACCAGTTACTTCAGTCTAAATGAGAATAAGTTATGCTGTAATGAAATAGAAGTAATTCGAAGTTTTGTGTTAGCTTACCTGTATTGTGTTGCAGGCTTCAATGGACCATTGCAGTTATGTGAATTATATTGACATGGGCTATTTTCACCAATTACAAAATATTCATCTGAATAAGGCTGGTGATTTGTGCTCATTTGATCAGCAGAACGTCGAACACGTGTATTTTCAAATGTCAACGGTGAGTGAACCAGTATTTCCCATGATGCATTCTCATTTGTATCACGGTTATTGTATGCCTTTCAAAATAACGGTGAACACAAATTAGTGAGAGAGAAGAACTAGCGAAAATTGCTTACAATCTTTTAGTGATTATAATGTGCATAACTGCGGTTTAAAATTCCTTCAGTTAAATGTAATTTTTTTCTACTGTCTATGCTACATGGGAAATTCCCATTTCGATCGAAAACCCGAGGAAAATATAGTTCGATCAAGAGACTTCTTTTAGTAGTTTGATTGGCAAAGCTGTATGTCTTCAAAAATTAGTAGATTTTGGTAAACATCACCAGTATGCTAGACGGTGATATCTGTGGTTACAATCAAGAATACAACATCAACAAACAAAACCTCATATAATAATCGAAGTGTATAAAGAGTGAAGACTGAACAAAGAATGGTAGGAATCCTGCAACTATTATTGGGTTTGGATACGTGATTGATTAATATGGAAAAAAGATCAGACGTGATTAAGAAAAAGAGAAGTGAACAAGATGAGATAAAGTGGAAAAAGTGTGTAAAAAGAGAGAACAAGTAGGTGAAGGTTCCTGAATATAGTGGAAGTATAGAAGATAACAAAGAAAATGCGCGGCAGAATCGCTGTGACGGATTTCGAGCTATATTTTTATGGGTATCTAAGCCTTAATTAGCAGAAGTTACTATGTCTCTGGATAGCCTATGTGTCCTTCTGATGACTCAGGCTAACAAATAGAGAGATCAGTGACTGCTGCCTTGTCTTGGTTTCGCCTCCTTTAGCTTCTTCCCGAATTGGTCCTCCCTAACTCAGCTCACACCACTTGTCGAAATAGATGGTGACTTAGTTTGTGAAAGTATCATTTTTCGTCTACTTTTTAAACTCTTGACCTTCATTGATGACGAATCTTGATAGTATTATCATGCAACGTATTAGGTGCATTTTAATTGTATAATTTCAGCACAATATGTGCAAACAAAACATTAACTAAAAATTCTTTTTATTATTCCTCAACCTTTTGATTTTGCTTGGAAGCCCTTTTTCAAGAATATGAATCTAATGTTAAGCTTCCAGATTGATATTTAACTTTAGTAAACAAGGTGACCTCTTGTTCATCCAACTAAATTGTTGTGTAGAAAAAGGATCAATAGGATTGAGGTGAATGATTTAACAAATGGGTGTGGGGTACTAGTTTCACTGGGAATACCCTCACTTACTGGGATGAAAGTGACAGCTGACGAAGACCAGATAGTAAAACTGGATTTATTTGCTAGCCACCACCAACGGATCACAACGTGATTAAGCTTCTTCAGGCTATGCAAGTAAGTTATAAAAAAGTACACTGAGGAATTTCGCTCGACTAATAAACTAACATTGAAGTGATTAATCTTCAGCAGCAGAGTACGAGGAAATTACAATCCAGGTAATGTGAATATGTTAGGGATAAACTATATGGAGTGATTTTCACTTAGAGTGTGTGTTCAGCCTTCTCCCTACATTTTATTTGAGACTTCTTATGCTAGTTACTAATGTTTGCCATGTTTGTGAAATATCCGGTAGGTCTTGGTTGTATTGTGTTCTCTGAGCTGGGTTGTTTAATTGTGAAGCTTTCATCGTCTTGCTAGACGACATCATCGACACTAACTTCAGTATGAAGTGAGTTGTCTATATCTCTCCGTAAATGATTTAGTACCTTGACTTGATAAAGCGGTCTGTGATTTGTTGTTTCCTTCGATTGTTGTGTCATTGATTGTATAGACTTTCCTGTTGGCTGTTCTTCCGCTTCACCTCTGATTTTTCTGTCGTTTATCAATGACACAACAATCGAAGGAAACAACAATTCACAGACCAAATCGTCAGAGCAAGCTACTAAATCACTCACGGAGAGATCTTGACAGCTCACTTCATGCTGAAGTTAGTGCTGATGATGCCGTCTAGCAAGGTGATGAAAGCTTCACGATTAAACAACCCAGCTCAGAGAACACAATACAACCATGACCATCCACCTGAGCTACAAATATTCTCCATCATCCAGCAGGTCTTTTCTGTTGACTGCAGAAGAGTATGAACAGATAAGCGAAGCTTCTGCACTGGCCCTCTCTTAGGTTAATTCATGACATAAGTATGAGGTATTGCTGTAATATAGTGTGCCGGGACTATACAAGTAAAATACACATTATACAATAAACTTGGTGCCCAAATTATAAAAATCCAGACCATAGTTGTTCCGAATGTCTGGAAGAAGTTGAGCTTGTGATGACGAATCTTAATGACTCAGGGTGGACAGGAAAACCATCAAACCAATGACCTACCTTCACTAAGTATATTTGATGTACCACTTGACTATATATTTTGATGTTAATAAAAAAATCAGTATATTCTGCTGAAGAAGCTGGATTTTACACAGCGAAATGTTCAGAACTACCTTGTTTTGATTTTCTAAAGACGCTGGGATTATATTAAAATATATTCTTATATTGGTGCTCAAATGTTTCCAAACAATTAAGTCCCTTATTTGTCATGATACTTTCAAGTGGTGTTATAACACTTAGAATTAGGTCTTTGTTGTCACTTCATGTATTTGTCTTTTTTTTTCAGTTTTCAACTTATATGATGATCTGGGGGGGGGGGAGAAACTTCAGCTGTTAAGCAGTAATATCAGTTCCTATGTTCATAATACTAATCTCTTACCGTTTTTTCAAGGCAGACTTGTTCTGCAGTTGTTAACTGGGTATGATAAAAGAAACTGAGATCACTTACCGGTTCTATTAAACTGATTTCAGACGTATTATTGTATTGTATGCGCTTTGTACAACCTTCAGAACAATAAATATCATCCTTATCTTTGGTGGGTCGTAATACAAGTGAGACAATACATACTTTTGGTATATGATTATTTAACTGGGATAATGGCAGGTATAGTATAATCATACTGTCTTGTTTAATGTGATTGGTTTTTGATGATGGAGAATTTAGCATCATATTTGAAATCTGATTGATACTATCACGTTCAATAGCTATGATATAAGAAAAGAGTAGAAAATAACAGACAGTAAACTATTTAAAAATAAACAAAACCATTTAGACGCAAAAGAGTAGATCAGCTCACAAAAAAAAATCAAACGGTTATTCTGGTAAGTGGAATCGATCCACTAAGTGTTGCCATCAGCGAATGTTATGAATTATTCATTCGGATAACATATATGAAGTAGTAGCATTATCAGTTATAACGTTACAGCAACTTCATTGCGCAAAGTGGCGAGAGTTCGGTCAGGCAGAAATTCCTGAAAACTGTTTTTAGCCAGCTATAATAAATGAAGACATATCAGTATGACATATCTTCGCAATTCTACCGTGGATCAACTCCTGAGACTGGATAACATAGTATTTTGTACTCTGTGGCTACCAACTGTTGTTTGGCATGTGAGAAAACGTTGATGTCAAGAAATTTTTAAGTGGCGCTGAAGACGATTTCTAGAATGCAACTCATCGTTTCCTTCAAACGAACTTAGATTCCATAATACCTTTATCTGAACGTCAATTTTGTGAACTATGGATACTTTGCAATGATTATAAATTTTATCAAGATGCAAATTTAGTATGGTTAACTGCTTTACTCAAGCAGCATCTTTTTTACAAGTGTTTACTTATATTTAAGCACACTTCTGGTACTACCAAATGAGACACTGCATCAGTTACTACTAACAACTGAGCTAATAATTTCCATAATAAGGAAACTATGGTGCTTAATATAAGTATAGAAGAACGTAAGTTCAGAAACCGATGAAAGAAATTCCTGCCACGTTTTCTAATCTATAACACCCATCCATTTCATAGAACTTAACACGTATTTTGACGTGTACAAACTTTACGGTGAAAGTGTTCTATGCAACTTCTTTTTCCTATGTGTCGTATATCTCTAAAATCAGAGGTATTTGACAATGATTTCTCAAGAGCTTTCATAAATAGTTTCCTACTTTATGAATGTTAACAGAAAATCCAGTGGTAGTACGTCTAGATTCCTATTTTCATTGTTTGGAATTGAGTTCGAACGATCCCGCTTATTTTTAGGAAGATAAAAGGTAGTAAGTCAAGTACGATGAACTTTTTTTGATGAAAATGAAAATCTGTGCCTAAAAAGAATTTTATTTGAAACTTTTTCAGGTTTACTGAACTACAGTTCTTGGTCTATTTAACTTGCGTCATCACCATCTTAAAAAGCCTCAGCGCTAGAGTACGATAGATGGAAGTGCCAACCTGTTCTCGACATGAGTTAAAAATATGCTGTTTGGTTGGAGTACACTAAACTTTTTTAAGTACCCATTAGCCTGAGGAACCTATGATAGAACCAGTTAATTTACTGGCTATCTTAATGAACCATAGTGTCTGAAAAACATGATATCTATCCTGGTGACTAAAACCAAGGTGATAAGAAGACTCGAACCTTAAATTCTTTTTATGGGTATTTATCAACAAGGCGTATCTGTAATTTTAATGAAACTCAAGCTTTCTTGAAGATTCAAATCTAAATCAGTATGTGATAAAGTTTAAAACTATGAGGGAACATGAGTCACCCGAAGATTGCAAATGTACCTCGCTAATGAATACTGGTAAGTATAAAAAATCTATCAAAACAGTACCCGACCGATTTATTTCTAGCACCTAACATTGAAATGTAGTGCTCCGTAGTTTTCCACCAGTTAGCTAATTGGCCACGCTATCAATGTGATCGACAGACTAAACTTTTGGCACTTAGGAAATGACAGCCATATTTATTACCATTCAATAGTTAATTCATGTAGATAATATTTCAGCTTGCTATCATGTTGTTCGTTATATATTTTGTAATGTTACACCCACGTCTTACGTGATATACTGATTATATAATATTCTGGATTGTTACGCGGTGAAACTTAGTAAACTGAAAACATTGAGATGAATCACTACAACTAAAGTAACTTGAGTAGGTGAATCTTTCAAAGAATATTTTTGTAATGACATTGTCTTCACAACAGTTGAAACTTTTGCCTACCACAAAAAACAACACTTCACTGGTTGTTTAATAATGACATTTGTATTTTGAATATAAGTAAATTACTTATCTGACTAAATATTATGAATTCTTTCCCCCTGTACTGTATCTCTTCTCACAGGCGTAATTGCTTCATTTTAATTAGAATCAGTAAAAATTTATTACTTTTGACATTTGTTCTGCTCATGTACTTCAGTGGAAGACATTAACTAATGTTCATTATTATCTCCATCTGATCATATCACATCTGAATCCAGTCTATAGATCAACATTCACAATCGTTTTTTCTTTTTGGTCTTCATAAATGAGCAGATTCAGTGAGTCAAATTTACGATATCAACACAAACCCATGAGACCTGATATCATAGTTGACCTTATTTGGTGTTACATAGCCCTAGTAATAACAATCAAAACTTGATCTATAAACTTCAGTTACTGACTGTCCAATGGTCAGTGTGTCTGATCACCTCAGAAATTCTACAGATATCATATCGTTTCCGAACTCTAGTGTTCGTACGAAGGAATCTTTTATGCTCACATTCTTTTTTAGCTATTTCAATAGTTGGTATTTTCGCTATTGATGTTACCCTCCAGAGCAAATGATCATTTGAGAGCATAATGAACCTGGGAATCGCTGGGCTTTGAATGTTGGAATATAGATAAGATATTAGTTTATGACTGTTTCAAGTATTTCTCATATTTTGTAGAAAAACAAAGTGAAAAATCTTGAGGTTTGGCGTAGAGCAATGGGGAAATATTTCAAGTCAATCTAAGGAGTTATGAACCTTTAGCCACCAAGGTAACTGTGATGCTTTGAGAATGACAACAAAACCCCAACCTTAAATTAGGATTAGATGAAAAGAAAGAAAAAGGCAGCTAGTTGAATTCAGTGAACAACTCTCTAAAGCTCTTACTTTTGGTCTCGATGATTAGAGAACCCATAAGCAGTCTGGGTAATGTCCTTAAAATAAGAATGAGAATTAATATTTAGAGACTATAGGGGATATGGTTCGAAACTCACTGTAATGGGATATTTGAATGAACTATCCATGATTTTTCAAAATGTGAAGATTGTACTAGTCTTTCATAATTCTCCTCTTTTGAATTACGTTTATCTATTTCAACACTGTCTGTTTTCGATACTATTTCTACGCTGATAGACTATTAAGTATAGAGTTCGTTCTATAAGAATTTTGTGTTGTGACACAGAATGTCAATACTACCAAATACTTTAATTAGGATTTATAGTTTCCACTAACACTTACTACTCGAAATCCTTTTAATATGAAATAAAATGATATCCGATAGAATGAAAGTAAGGTTTTCATTCCGAAGACGTGAAATATATGCATTCTAATTGACACTGGATTTCTGAAACGCTCATATAAATAGCCATTATTGAATTCAAGAGATTATTAAACAAGAAACTAATAGTTGAAGGGCATGAAATCTCTCGAATTTTTGAATTAGCCTGACTGATTGTGGATCTATTGTTGAATTTTAAGACTTCGCCAAGAATTTAACTGTAAATTCTGAACAATTTAACAAAACGTTAATTATGATAATTTGGTTGGTTGTGGCTGGCAGAAGAATCCAGGACACGCATTTGTCAATAAATAGTAATCTAATAGAACATTGAAATCTCATCAGCGTCAACAAAATGTTGACAACGTTCAAAAGGAATAACATTTAAGTAAATATCCCCTTTGACGAAACGATTGTAGTTTGAGAATCAGATCAACAGATTTAGCTGTATGGTATAACAATCAGCAGGCATACGAATTAAATTTAAAACCTAGATACTTTTTCCACCATTAATATACATGTTACACCTTGACTTACTTGGTTCTTACCAATAGCCATTTATATGAATAAAGCAGTCGGTTTTCTGTTTCTATCAGTTCTGTTAATATTGTTCAGCAGAGGATTCCTATTTATCTTAGTATACATCTATGTATGTATGCATATCTGTGTTTATATGCATAATACTATAAAGTTAATGCATTATATAATAGCTGATGATAGTATCTTACTACAAAGACCTGAAGAAGGTAATATTAGGCATCGCATCAAAGGTCGCCTACTTAGAAGTAGGTTATAATCCCGCCGCCACTTGTTATATTCTTGTAGTGACTTGATATAGCCTGAATTATGAACATATAGGACATTCAAAGCTAGAAAGGTCTGGAAACAGTCAGTGTCACAGTAAGTCGATATAAACCCTTATCTTTTGTACAAATGTTTGGTGTTATAATGCATCTTCGTTATATTACCACCTTTCGCGCTAATCGTTTAAAGTATGTGGCCAACAGTGGGTGGAATCTGAAGGTTCTTGTTCAAACGTCCACACACGTATATATATAACTATATCAAGTACTCACTACAAGTGAGAAAAAGGTTATAAAAGGTGGAGAAGAGTAAAAAAAATCACAACACTTTCCAATAAAAAATCGTTACTACTATTCCAACGGTATGAGGAAAGAATGGAAGCAGAAACATAGATAATCAAAGGGGTTCAAAGTTCTCGTAAGAACAATAAATCAGTCATATATAGGTGGATGCTTCGACAAAAATCTTCAGGTTCCACCCTTAATGGTCGCCCAGTTTCTTGATAAATAGAAAAGGCGGTAATATAAAAGATGTATTACAACATCAACAGTATATACAAACACAATGGTTTATAAACATTTACAATGGCCTTGGCTATTTCCAAGCCTTTCCAGATATGAATTCGATTGGTTTTTTATCGTATCAACTTATTCGATATTCACACTGTGATTCATTTGACTTCTTCCGAAACCTCGAAATAAAACTATTGGTTGCAACAGGCTTCTGGGATTTACGGTTGATAGTTCCAGTAATCTTACAACACATTATATTACTTCTGTTATCTTACCACCTCTTCCATTTATTGAGAAAAAAGGAGGAACCATCAAGGGGTGAAGTCAAAAGGCTATTTTTTAAATGTCCACATCTATATAGTTTAGGTCAGATGAAGTAGTCATTACCAGTATACAACAAGTAACATCAGTGTTATAGTAAAGTAGAACACCAAGAACACGAGTAACAATAGATCAATGACTAATTGATTTTTGTTAACTGAAGAAAGAGAAAATTTTCCACTAACCCTCTGGATAGGTGTGTACTGAAATCTCTATTGATTTTGTGCTACTTATTTGATGAATCATATCTGAACATTCTACATATAAATTATACCATGTATCCGGATAAAGATTGTCTACAACCAACTGTGTCGCTAATAGGCCAGCTTCATATTTCATTGGTTTTTGTGTATAATTATGCATAGACTTTATGAATACATAATAAGATTCATTTCCAAATGTAGAGTTCTGTAATGATCGATTCCAGTTCACAGTGAATCCATATGCATTGACATTAGAAACAGTTAAATTGACTGGCGGTTTGAGATCTGAAATGTTTGATAAAAAAATATAGATTGAGAGATAATATTGTCAAGTTTGCCATATTATACCACATGATCAGTTTACCAATTGAGCTTCATGCATTATTGTGTTACAATATATTACACCATAAAAAATAAGCTGGTTATAGTCAACCAATAATTTCTTTCAACTTTTGTAACCAGAGTCTTAAATAACAAGTGAAAAATATATTGCTAGTATTAGTATTTCTGCGATTTACTATTGATTATAAGTATTTGCTTCAGGATTACTGTCCAAATGACGTTAATTTCGATTGGTTGACGGCATGAATCCCAAGTAATTCTCAATTATAGTGAAAGTTACAGGTTCACTACAAAGTTACTTATTTCTAAGTTGTTCTTTTTAAGAGATACATTACATAAGAATACAGTAACTTAAAAATAGGCTTGTTTTTGAGTTGTCATTTCGTTATGACCGCTGAACACCATAGTGACAAATGTCATATGTAATTGACTCTTTTTCCTCAAGTTTGGTGACCGCCCACTGGATAGAAGACAAGAGAATTGCTGGCAGTCGTTTTATCTGGTTAACCACAGTCCTAGTTCCCCTTATAATTCACAGCTCTTGTGTTTACAAACTTCACAGAAATGATAATTTAAAATTGTGTTTTATTCTGTTTTATTGTGTGAAATATACCCATCAGGATATGAAAGCAGAAAAAATACTTCATCGAAAAGTCTCTTTTCGACGCAAACTACTACTACTACTACTACTACTAGCAGACTGCTTTATGACCCGTTTTGTGGACGGACCCCTGAAATCAACGACTGAACGTTTTCAACTGTACAAAAGGTACATAGGCGATACTTCTATTATTTGTGATCATCACTATGATTTGAATTATGTTCTACAAATATTCAATAACTGCCACTCAGCAATTAGAACCACCCTTGAGATCCAAAACCGATCGAAAATTCACTTTTTTGATGTAGAGCTGACAACAACAACAACTGATGGGATGTTAGGTACATCAATTCATAGAAGACCAATCTGGAATGGTCAGCTGGCGAACTTTAATAGCTGGGTCCCTATAAGTCCTCATTAAAATATGATCATATCTCTTGCTACTCGCATTAGGCAAATCTGCAGTCCCGATGTGTTAAAAGGGAAAGTTTCTGTTCTTAAGAGCACCTTGATTAAACCGCATTCCCACTACGATTCACAGAAAAACACATCAAGCCTAAAACTCGCAAAGATAACCTTACCACCGTGCCAAAAGAACACCTAGTATGAATCTAAACTTCAAAGGTGACTCTGCCTCTGAGACTCTAAAAAGGAGCATATAAAACGCTCCAAAGAGAACATTCTTTGCGTCATCGCTGAGACTAGTATTCTGTTGTCACCTAAAGATTTATAATAACTAAAAACAGTAACGTTTGCATCTGAGCACTTCTGTGTGCATGTATTAGTTCACCTGCTGTTATGGAGCCAGGTATATATGTCGTTCGATGCGACTGTTATCCAAAAGCTACCATGAGCTCTATCCCGCTTGGTTACAAAGAGGTAACAATGGAGCCATAAGAAGTGGTATAATTGAACATATCGTGAACACGAATCACCCTATCTCAAGAACCCCATCGTTCAAAGTCATCTTTAAAGTGAAAAGAAACCTCCCAAAGGCTGTTTTCTTATTCTCTGCATCGCCGAAGCTATTGCCATTCATGTGGAGAAACCTTAACTGCGTGCACAAAAGAAGATTGTTCAACTCCTTCTCCTCTCATAGTCTTAGTTTTCAGTCTGCTCTACCATCTCCTCTTTTCCTTTTCATTTTTTTGTTTCGACAGTAATCACTTCTAAAGTAAACTCATACTCCTTTTATTTGCTATGCTCTGTCTGATCGAAGTTCGGTTTCCAATTATGTCGTCATGTCACAAAAATTCTTGTCCAGACTTGTTGTGCCTGATATTCACTATTCATCAGTTTTTGGGTTTTCGATTTTAATGACAGCTCGTTTATTGACACTATTTGTGTTGCCGTGCTTGACAAACCATTTTTAACCATCACATTCTTACGCTAAAAAATGTATAAATTTGCGATTGTACAGCTTTGAAAATGAAATCACCGAAGAGACTGTGCTGAGATACTCGTTCTTCTTTCATAATCTGTTTTACTTTTGTATATTTTTAAACCATAACAGTTTATTGGTGTACTAATAAAATCATGAAAAGTGGTCAGAATGTTTACCTCATGCAGACTAAAAAGGTGAAACATGTACAGCCAATCTCATTACTTAGAGAATAAGCTTCACCAGAAAAGTTTGTCAGATAATCACCTATGAATGTTGTTTTCATAATCACTTTCAGTTTTACTGATAATTCTGAACAAAAAATCAAAAGACGCAATATACAAAAGTGAATGAGAATTAAGGTGTACTGTTTCGAAAAAAATAGTATAAGTGTCCTTCATGTGTGTTCCATGTATGGCTCCAGCCAAGCCTTATATTTCACAACCAGTTTCCAAGACTGTCCCATGATTATTAAGGTTTACACTGACTTGTAGGTTGTCTGGAAATGCATTAAGAGTAAATTTGGAAATTTTGTATATTTTTGAATAGCTCCTGGTTTAAATCTGTCTGTTTTAACATAAAGCTTATACAAATAAACAAAAAAACTTTAAAATACCAAGTACTGTAAGAGGTATTTGTTATGCCTGTTTTGTATAACACATTAACCAGGTTTATTCAGTTAAAAAAGTAACCACTTTTGTAGAAGTTAGTCTGTCAGCGTCAGATACAGTGTTACTTCCAGTTTCTAGTTCCTTTGAAGTTAAATATACATTATTCGGTCTTTACCAGTCTACGGAGCCTCTCTTTTGAATATAAATGGCATTGAACAACAATTTATCATTTTTCATGTACTCTCGTAACCAGTGGTCACTTAATAGTAATTTACAAGAAAAAAAATGGTTTAACATGAGTTTCTTATTACATATAGAAACAACAGCCTTCAGATCTACCTTTCACTAGTCATTTGATTCCTAAGAAATAAAAAAAATGCCTTAAACAGTGAATAAATACTATATATATTTCAAGGCTTTTCTTGAAGGAAACTTGGTCTTGATTCTGTTGTATTAACCAACCGCATATTAGTGTATTGTCTAGTAACTTTTCTTAAAACTTCACCGTTTGTTTATTAGTTGTAGACATTTTCAGGGTTTTTCGGGATACCCTAAGGGACCTAGACAAAAATATCACATCCCATAATAAAAATGAAACGAAATAAATCAAAGTGACCAATATAAAAATATCTCAAAACATACGGTATGGATTTGTACGAACCAGAAGGAGTTTTGTAGCATCACTGTGTTTACCGTAAACACAGTCAACTGATTTCATATATACAGTATAATTTATTCCAGGTATCAGAGATGTCATAGTGAATTCACTTCGTCCACTGCACTCCTTGAACTGTATAAAGTCATCGTTTATATTAAATAAGGGTCGACTGAAAATTAAGTAACAAATATTCATGAATGCTGTATCTTGTTCTGGCACAGACCAAGTAAGAGTTAACTGATTTGGTTTGATATCGGTAATAGTAACATTTTCTGGCGGGAAAGGTTCTTGAAGTGAAACATATATATGTAAAAATAAAGCATTACTAAGAAAACGTCAATAAATATTAAAGTAAGAGAGTTGAATGGTTTTATAGCACATATGAGAAAGTGTGTAAGCCTATTTCTTAGCTCAGTTTTGCAAACTTTTTCAAAACTTTTGATGAACAATATCTTACAATTTTCTTGACTGAGTTGTAACAAATAAAGACCCCCACCAGCTTTTCTGAATATATTCCAGGTAATGTACAACTAAGGGGAAGTAACTACTAGGCATCTCATGCATCAAAACTTTCATATTTCTGGCTAATATTTGTAGTTCACGATGTGGATGTTCAAAGTGTGTTGTCCTCTGAGCTAGGGGTTTGATAGCCAAACGACTCAATCGTATGCTAGACATCGTAATCAGTGCACCAGAGCCTCACAAGGATGGGAAGTAATTTCTTGTGCATGAATATTTATAACGTGCTAATTTGCAAGGGCTTGATCTGATTGGCAGCTATTTGAATGTGTCAGGATATACTGAACCTACCTGGTTGATTCCTGATTTTTGTTTTCCGAAAGTTGTGTTCAAGTATATGATTGGTGGATATTTTTTACATACCTACAGTACATTGAGGTCGTTCTTTTGTGATTCCATGACCCTTTTTGTTCGAATGAATTGGTGAAGCTCTGATGTATTGATGACAATGAAACGCTTCCGACTAAAATGCTAGCTCATAAAACATACTTTGAAGGAGACGTCAGGCTGACATTTCTGATGTCTGGAAAAAAATAATGTGTAGAAAGTATTTGGGCTATTTTGTTTCTTTGACGTTACTGTTCATGATAAGATTGATAACTAAAAGGGGGGTGTGTAATTAGACGTTTTTTTTCATGTCTGTATTTCGAATTTCTTCAACCTGCAGTTGTTTAATCTTTCATTCGTGCTCTTTAACTGTTTTCTTTCCATTGGATTGCTCGCAGTTTCATTTTTCTCATTTTTTTATATGTCGCACAACCTTTAATTAATTTGTTCCTTGAGCTCTTTCTGTTTTACTTACAACCACTGAACTTTCTACTGCCTCATAGTGGCTAAGAAGTCGCTGTGGAACATATACTGTTGACTCATTTATCTACTATGCTTTCTAGCTCATAACTTGATTTTCTATGGCAAGTTTCCCACATTATCTTATCTAATTGTATTGTTAATAACTTTCATTTAAGATTGTTTACAGATAATCGGAATCGATAAAGAAAAAGAAATCAGTTTCAGTCAATAGTTCTTGATATGTTCGCGTACTCGACTGTCTCATCCCGGTAGAGTGTAGAACTTAAAATATCTTCACAGAAAAGCATGACGATACTAAGTAACCCTTAAGACTGTTTTTTCAGAAAAGGTTTTTGGTTATTGCTTCTTTTAAGATGCTGGTACTAATTCTAAACTACCTGATTCTGACTAAATGAAAGATAACAAGAGGGAAGAAAGATTTTCTAAACACACCTCAGCTGCTAAATAATGTGAATTGTATTTCGTAGTTCACCGGAAACAATGTTCAACAAACTACATGAAGTTATTTGAAAACATTATCGTAAAATTATGCCAATGAAAGAGATCTGTGTAAACTAGAAAAGTTTGGAAAACTGCTTCATCTCAATTTGGAATTCTTCAGTTTTTATTCTCATGATTCCTTTCGAGAGTGAGTACTGAAACCTAAAGTTTTTTGGAATGCTTATAATAAAACATAGGACGTTTACCGAAGAGTCACTCTTTTCAGTGGTATCATTCTCAGGCTGTACAGTAGCATATAAATATTCTATTCAAACGGCAACAGGAAAGGAATGTTTCTACGACTTCTACGAACCTTCTTTTCGTTACTTTACAGTTCAGCAGAGACACATCAGCAGATATACTGAGAAACCGTCTGGCATGCTTATCGAGGAGAACTTTCTAGGCTGTCAAACTTAGATTGACTTTCTCCAGTGAACCATCTCTTCGATTATAAGTAAAGGAAAAGCTACTCCGTTGGTCGCCTCAGTGCACATTCATCAATTTACTTGTTTTTATGGGGTATGATATATTCACCGTACTCAGTCTTTCCTTCCCGAACATAATACCAGCCTGGTTCTACAAAGGAAAAAGTAAGGCACCATGCAGATCTGTTTTAAAACATTTGATTAATTACGGCTACCACTAAGTAGATGCAGAAAAAGATGTCAGTGGCATGTAAGCCTAACGTATTTTTCAAACTGTGGAAGCCACAGAAAATAATATTTTGAAGTCTGAACTTCATGTTCAAAAAAATTTTGTCCAGTCACTTGGGCTGAAATGGACATGACCTGTCAGAACCTTTTTCCCCTCAATAATTTTTCTTCCTTATCTTCTCACACATAACATTCTTCCACCCCCTAAAATTTCGACTTCTCGTTACATTCAAAGGTTTTTGAACCATATTACATCATTTAACTTCGTAAGTAAATAATACTTCTGTCTTGATAATTTTTCTTCTCATTACTATTTTAATCAATATGCAGTTTTTTTCCATTTTCTTGATTGATAATCAAAACTGAATTCAGTTCAAAAATATTTTATGAAACATTTCAATTTTGTAGCCATGTTAACAGAATACCTATATGCGGTAGTACAGCTTGAGAATGATATCACTGAAAAGAGTGACTCTTCTCTAAATGTCTTTTGTTTTATGATTTCATACTGATGAATGCTTATGATTATTTAACTATCGGGTTGCTTATCACCAAAAAAGGAATATGAATATTTTTCTATATTTCATATTTGGCTATAATTTAGAAAAGTATAAGTATAATTTTGAGGAAGTTGAGGGGATTTGGAAATATTTCAAGTTGTTATTCATCGTAGAATGACATCAGTTGGAGGAACAAAGGAAACCTGGGAGCACTAGACAGCTGTTTCGTCCTAGTATGTGACTCCTCAGTAGTGCGCAACCACGAACCCGCGACCTTCAGGTTTCGTGGCCAGCACGTTACCATACTAAGACGAAACAGCTGTACAGTGCTTCCAGTTTTCCAATGTTCCTCCAGCTGATGTCAGTCTACGATGAATAACAACTTTAAATATTTCCAAATTCCCACAACTCCCTCAAAATCCAATTCAACTGGTGCTCATTTGTGACTAGCTTCGAGAGGTATTCCCAAAGTTCCAGTGAGTAGTCGTGACCGGTGAGGGTAAAGCCTGATGGTTTTGAGGACAGTTACTCAACGATGACATTGGGTGGAGGTTGCGTTATATCGTGAGCTAACAGCTAACGGTTGGATTCTGACCCATTGGCTCGATGGTAACGTGCTGGCCACGGAATCTTAAGGTCGCGGGTTCGACCCCTGGCGGGTCGTGGGTGCGCACTGCTGAGAAGTTACGCACTAGGATGACAGGGTGGTCAAGTGCTCTTAGGTTTCCTTTGTTCCTCCGACCGATTTTAGTCTCCGATGAATAGCAACTGGAAACGTGAGTTTAGTTTGGGTACCCTCATTTGCGTCAACAGATATCTTTGAAGAATACAAGTCTATATTAATGGGGTGCAACCTATAATGGGATGTGTGAAGCGAATAAGTCATAGAAAAAAGATGCTTGAAACTGCTAATGGAAAAGAGTATAGCACTTTGATGGATTATGTAACTTGAAAAAAACCACCATAAGAATAAGAATAAGAAAATGTCAGATGATAGACAATAAGATGCATGCTGGCGATATACCGACCTCTGATCATGCCAAGTAGCTAGTATTCATTGTGTAATTCAAAGACTTGGGATGATCATCAGTGAGCAGAACAACAGAAATAACTGACATTCAAATGCCAGCTATGTTGATTCATTTTTTATTCACCTATGAACCTATGTTTGTCATACAGGGAGATATTGATATCACTCTAGTTATCATTTCGAGAAGAAAATATTCAACGGAGCATTGGTTTTTTTCATCTAGGCTTAGATGGACGATATAAAGCAATTCATTTGGCATCTTGGTGGAATTTCCTCAAGATATCACATTCCATAGTTACAATACTAATTACCATCATTTGAGTTACCATTATCTGAGTGAATGTCACCCTTTTTTCTGAGTGAGATGGATCTTATTTGACTCAGAAATTAGATTTCACCAAAATAGTGAATATCGTTTACTCAGTGACCAAATTCACTAAAGCCGTCAAATCACAACTGGGTATGGATATCTAGCAGTTAATCGTTTTTTAAATGGGCGACTACTGTCTTCCACACTAAGGAATCGCTATGTCTTTTGACACAGAATAGATTATTTTCTGAAACATCCACATTCACTTATCGAATTAGTACTTGGACTAGATTCCTTTGATGACTGCATTCTTTGCAAACGTTTTTCTGCCTAACTTTATACTACTTACTGTAGGCACGTAGTATCATTTATTGCCGTAATTTTGTTAGCTATGCACTGCAGACTGGTTTGCAAATTTACTGTTTTCTACAGTGATGTGATGAGTCATGAGGTAACTAGTACACCAGTTACTAGCCGGTCCTAAGCCCGGATAAAAGGGAAAGGTTTGGCAGAGGGTTAGCAACCCTACCCCGGAAAACCAATTAAATCGCTAAAGAAACTCCAAAGCACAAAGAAAATATAAAACATAAACTTATTCTTCGCTAGAATCGGTGAGACGAAACTATGCCAGTTGGTAAAAGCCTTCGGAAAGCCAATCGGCCGACGTATCTTCTCTTCTCTCGATGAAAGGAAAAGTAAACATGGGGACATGGAATGTCCACATTATGTTTGAACCTAGCAAGACTGCCTAGATTGCCAAAGCGATGAGAAGGTATAGCATAGAAGTGCTAAGAATCTGCGAAAGCAGGTGTAATGGAAGTGAACTCTCCAAACTGTCAACTGGAGAGTCAATAATCTACTCCAATACTGTCACCCAGATGACAACCCCTAGCACACTGAGGTTTGGAGTGGCTGTCATGATGTCCCGCTCCCAAGAGCATGGAGGGCTCTTTCTCATGCAGTGGGAAACAATCTCCTCCTCCTT